CGCGCCCCCCCGCCTGCCTCCCGGCTCGGCGGCTTTCCCTCCTGCCGGCCGGTCTCCCCCGAGACTCACCTGGCCGCGCCCCCCGGTGCCTTGCCGGGGGCACTGTTATCAGTGAGGGGAGTGTCTTCCCCGTCACATCCCTGATAAAGATCCTGTAGGTATTTGTTTCTGTCTGTGGGACTGGAGCAAATCCAGTTGTATCTTAGGGCCTAGCTGTAAACCATTGATCATATGATGTGTCTTGGATGGAAGCTAGAGGCAAGTCTCACCTGGCCGCGCCCCCCGGTGCCTTGCCGGGGGCACTGTTATCAGTGAGGGGAGTGTCTTCCCCGTCACATCCCTGATAAAGATCCTGTAGGTATTTGTTTCTGTCTGTGGGACTGGAGCAAATCCAGTTGTATCTTAGGGCCTAGCTGTAAACCATTGATCATATGATGTGTCTTGGATGGAAGCTAGAGGCAAGTAGGTAAGAATAACAGTTAGTAGATTTCTGGTATAAGGTGGTGGAAATGTGACCATCATTTAATTATACTGAACTGTCAAGGAAGTAGATCTCTTTTTTTATGGACCGGACCAGGCTAAAGTGGATGATGGGGTGGAAGTTGTTGAAATCCCTGTGGAATTCTTCAGGGTTTCCCTCCTGTGGATCCATAGGATGAAGATATCAATGTAGTGTAAGGATGCTAGGGGTCGAGAGCTGAGGAAGTGTTATTCGAGCTCAGTCATAATGATTTTGGCATATTGTGGGGCCATGTGGGTGCCCAAAGCTGTCCTGATTAGTTTATAAGGGTGCCTTGGTCTTTGAACTGTGGCAAGAGCCCTACCAGGCTTTTGCTACAGTTCAAAAGCGGAAGCCGGGCGTGGCCAGCGGGGGACTGACTCCACACACTCTGCAGCTTCTGAGCTTTTGAAATGTAGCAAAAGCCTGGTGAGTTTCTTGTAAGCCAGCTGATTTCTTGCACATTTCAAAAGTAAGCCTCTCAGGGAGCATGGGGCTTCTGTTTTGAAATGTATATTTCAAAAGCAGAATTGCAGCCGAAGCTGTGCGAGTGGAGACTGCTTCAGTCCCTAGTTATGCCATTTCCTGCTGTGCCTCTACCTTCCTTGCCCCCCCTGGGAACCTTTTAAGCTGGCTCCCTCCAGCACCGGCTCCTGCTCCCTCCCTGCCTCTCTTTGGTAGATGCAGCAAGGGAGGGAAGCGACTAGTTGCATCACTATTCAACCATCCGATAAGCTTCTGCCTATCAGATAGTCGACTAGTCGCTTACATCCCTATAACCTATCTCAGTGCTCATTGATGGATTTAATAATAGCCATTCTTCTACAAAAGAATTTCAAAAACTACAGAGTGCTGAATTGGCCTTCATATGTAAATTTGACACTGTATCTAATAGATTGAACAAAGACATGAACTGGAAGGGCTATTATAAAACCTGCTTTCCTTACTTTTAACACTCATTTGACATCAAAAGCTAAGTATGGGATACTTCCAGCCCACTTAGCCTCATTAGCACTGGCATTACAAATGACAGGTACTTCCCCCCACTTCTTTTTCTGTTATAAATTGTGAGGGTCCCCCCTTTTCTCTTCACTCTGCTCATCTGAGGAAGTGGGCTTCAAGATTACTCGTAGTACTTTAAACAAAATGAAAGGGGATGGGGCACCACCTTGATAACATCATTAAAGGTATTAGTAAAGGAAATATTTTATGCTACTGTAGACATAATAAAGTGCAGGCACACCAACAAGACCAAGTTGGAGTGAAGTTTGGTTCCATTTTTCTTAAGTTTAAAGCCAAGGGAAATTTTGTCTCAGATTTCAGTAGGACTTAGATTTCACCTTTTATGTAGCATAGAATATGATGGAGGGTAATACCTTGTTTTTCTGTTCTGATTAAAATGGAGGAATGGAAATAATGTTGATTTACAGGCAACAACACCCCCAAGAAGCCTATAATGCTACAGAAGTTAAGAAACGCCAGCATCATTGGGTTTTTCATCATATGGGCTGCATCTAGATTGGCATGATTTTGCGGAAATACTTTTAACGGGAAAGTTTTTGCGCAAAATCTTGCCAGTCTAGACACACCCATGGTGTATTTAGGAAGAGATCTAAATACGCCGTATCTTTGTAGTAGGCTGGAATTACTAAACAGAAGACTTATGGAAAGAATAAGGGAAGTGTGCAGAGCAGGTGCCTCAGGAGACTATGCTGATTGCATGCAGTTGGTGAAGATAATGAGGAGGCAACTTATTTGTATTGGAAAGGTGAGATTCAAATTAACAGTTCCTTTGGCCAAATGCAAGGTGCAGAATTATAATCTTGTTGTAAAAGAGGGCACAGGGAGTTTGCCCACTGCCTTCCCACGCCAGTCCTGAAACTCCAAGGCGCTGTCTGAGTGAGTGGCTATAGCTACTCCCTCTCACGGACCGCCTGGAAAGCCCTGGCTTCAGCCTGCACCAAGGCCTGGCAAGGCAGGAAGCAGAGAGGGGAAGGGCCCAGACTATCTCACCCATTACCAAGATAGTTTCCCCAATTATCACCTCTAATACCATTAACTCACAAACATCCCACTCTCCCTACCTCTAATATCATCAATTCACAGACACTTACCTACCTTCCTCCCCCCCCCATCCCCCTCCTGTTCTGCAATGTGATTTATCCTTTTCATATTTGTTCTTTTTTTTTAATTGTATCCTTTGGTATATATGGTTGTGACTATTTTCTTCCACTATTTGATCTGAGGAAGTGGGTCTGGCCCACGAAAGCTCATCATCTAATAAACCATCTTGTTAGTCTTTAAAGTGCTACATTGTCCTGCATTTTGCTTCAGCTACCCCAGACTAACACGGCTACATCTCTATCACTATTCTTGCAAGCTGAATACGGGACAAGTGAATGACCCACTGAGACCACACGAGTGGCGCCCAGGCTCCCAGCTTCCCTCTCCTCTATGCCCTGGTCTTCTGCTCCTTCCAGACCAGCGCCTCCTCCGCCCTAGGCTGCCTGCGGGCTCCGGCTGCCGCTCCAGCCTGCACTCTATTTCCGCAGAGGTGCGAAGACCCCCAAACTCGCTCCCTCCCGCAAGAACGCCTCGCTCGCTGATTGGCTGGCGATGATGTAATGGGAGCGCACATACGGGCATTTCTCATCATCTCTCAGACCCATCTCTCCCCTTGCAACTACCTGGGGAGGCCATCTGCCCCACCCCTCCGCGCAGCCAATCAGAGTGCAGAGCAGCTAGCGGTTGGGGACGTCTGGAAACGCTCGCTCGCTTTTCCAAAGACGACCGCGCTCTCTCCGTCTCCTTCGCCGATTCCCCCATGGAAGAGTGATTGGCAGGCACGCAGCCCAATGAGACCAGGGATATTGCAGCTACGGACCCGCCCATTAGAAAGGCCGCTGTATTGCAGGGACGGGAGGTGGGGTGTAATTGGATTGACAGCATCTCGAGCCTATGGGGTGTGAGCGACCGACGCGACCCTTTGGAAATGGGTTGGTGCTAGTGAAAGAGAAAGGAGGCTGCATGGGGGAGGGGAGGTGGGTTTAACTGACAGCGACTCCCGTCAATCATGCCAAAGCTGCAGTGCCTGGGTAAAAAAAGTGCGCAGAAGGAAGGAGGACGTTACGGCAGGCACTTGACTGACGGCAGCCCAGCCAATAGTTTTCAGTAACAAGCGAGGGCCTGCGCCTATTGCCATCTGAGCGGGCAGAGAGTAGGCGGTGCAACTGGTGAATGGCAAACGAGCTAACCAGTGGTCCTTACGATTTATGCAGCAGGCACGTGCGTTGGCCAATGGTAGTCACGGAGACGCGGGTCAATCTGAATGATAGTTCTGATAGCCACTAAAATTGGGCGTCTGAGGCTGGGCTCTGAGGCAGGGCTGTAGGGGCGGATCATTCCCCCGCCCGCCCGCCTTTTGCATGCTGACGTGAGCGGCAGGAGGGGGCGGGCCTAGCATCGGGCGCTGGGAAAGGGGTTCTCAACATGTCGGTGCTGCTGGCTGCGTTCGGACTACGCCAGCGGGCGGCTGTTGCGGCGGGCGGAGGCCAACGAGGGGCGCCCGCAGCGTGAGCCCCAGCCAGCCACACCCTGTGCTGGGCTAGGCCGGCCCTAGGACACCGGGCGGAAGCCTTGCCCGCGGCCAGGTACAGGGCCCGGCCCGGCTCGGCTCGGGGGCATTGCGGAGTGGGAGGCCTTCCCGCAGCGCCGAGAGCCCTCTCCGGCTGCGTGCACTGGGGGCCAGGCGGGGCCTGTGCGTGCGTAGGCGGGATGGACGGGCAGGAGGGGGCAGTGCGTGTGTGTTCTGGGGGCGGTAAAGGGCAGGCGCGGCCTGTGTGTGTGCAGGGGGGCGGCAGTAGGCGCGAGTGCGTACGGTGGGAGGAGCGCGAAGAAGGGGGCAGTCGGGCCTGTGAGTGTGTATGGGGGGAGGTTGGGGAAGCGAGCAGGCGGGGTCTGTGCGCGCATGTACTGGCGGGGGGTAGGGCAGAAGGCGGGGTATGAGCGATGTTTTGTGGGAGGGGCACAGGAAGGAGGCAGGATGTGAGTGGTGTAGGGCGCAGACAGGGTCTGGGTGTGTATGGCGGGGACGGGGCTTGTGCGCGCACGTGAGTGTATTGGGGAGGGGGACGGCAGGTAGAGCTGGCATGTCTGTGTGCTGGGGGAAGTAGGAGGCATGCGTGCAAGCCTGTATTGGGCAGGAGTAGAACAGCAGCTGGGGCAGTTACACTTGCACGCATGTGTGTGGGGGTACAGAGGATCTGCGTATGTTGAGGGGATGGGAGGGTGTCAAACGGGCCTGTATTGGATATAGAGTGGTATATATTGGATATAGAGTGGTAGATGGTGGGACCTGTGTGAGCATGTGTGTATTGGGTAGGGTGGCAGCTGGGGGAGGGGGATTGTGTGCAAAAGTGCTGGGGAGTAGGGTGACAATTGGGAGTAGTATGGCAGGAGGCAAAGCCAGGGTGGGGGCTGCTTGTGCATGTACAAGATAGGTGGAGGAGCATGTCTGCATGTGTGTATACTGAGGGAGTGGCAGGGTGGAACTGGGTGCTCGTGTACTGGGGGATAGGGTGGTGGGTGAGAGAATGGGCCTGCATGCCTGTATACTAGAAGGAGCTGTGTGAATGTGTACTTTTAGTAGGAAAGATAGCACATAGAGGATGTGGGTGTACTGGTGGGAAGGCAGTAGGACCTGTGTGTTTGTGTGAGAGTTCCTGGGGAGGGGCAGTTATGACCCCTGTTTGTTAGTTATGAGGGGGCAATGAGTAGGGCCTGTCAGTGCATTTGGGGTGTGGGTGGGCAGACAGTGCCTGGGTATATATGTGCATTTGGGGACAGCAGGAGCAGGCATTGCCTTCGTGTGGATTGCCAAGGTGGTGCAGATGTAGATATGGTCTGTGTATGAGTGAGCTTGTTTTGGGGGGGAAGCAGAGCCTCTGTGTGTGTATGGTACTATGCACATTTGGGGAGAGAGTTGTGCATCAATGTGTGTGTTTTGGGAGGCAAAGGAAGTGTGACCTGTGCATATGTTTGTGTCTGGGTGGGGGAGGGGGTTATGGTGTCGGGAGTGGATGTTAGGGTCTGTGCTTGTATTTTGGATGTGGGGACTGCGGTGAGAGGTAGAGCTGGTACATGTGCATGTGTTTTGGTGGAGGAACAGTGACTACAGGGTCTGTATGTCCAACATTTCAGAAGATGGTGGCTGGGCAGGTGTGTGTAGTGTGGGTGGGATACTTGTGGCCAATGTTCCCCCTATTTTTTTCTATCAGTCTGTGGAATACATTTTGTTACATGCACGAAGGCATGTTCAGATTTGCACCAGCACTAGAAACCCATGCTGCTGATTGTGGGAGCAGTGGGCGCACTATTCATCAGATGGGTGGCATTTGAATCTCTCCTGGGTGGCTGCCAACTTTCAGGGAGCACTGTTGGTGATGACCTCTAATCTTTTCCATCTGTGTGTGGATTTCTTCCATTCATGTGCAGAATAATTTTTTTATGTGCAAATATGCACTGCCAATAGCAACACAAAACGTAGCTGTGGGTGCTCTGCTAATCTATTGGGCAGCATTCGAATTTCTCCTGAGCAGCCACACAATCACACAGCTTACTAGCGACATTGGTGGACTCTCTCCATATGTGTATTGGGGGTGGTGGCAGGTAGTCAGAGCCTGCGTGTATATGGGGGCAGGAGATAGGGGATGTCTGTATATTGGGAGGGTAGGACTGTAAGTATACTGGTGATAGGATGGTAGCCTACCACTTTCCCCATATCTGTGTACTCGGGTATGGGAGAGTAGGAGGAAGGGTTTGTGTGTATACTGAAGGCGAGGGGCAGGAGGAGGAAAGTGGCAGGCCAGGCTGGGTGACCTGTGGTGTGGAAGTTAAGGGCCAGGCATCAAGCAGGTGTCTGTTTATAGGCAGGGAAAGTGACTGCCTTGCTGGTAGGCAGACTGACTTCTGAGTGTTTTGGGGAGGAGGAAAGTGGCTTGCATGTAAGAATGCCTGTGCATTTATGGAAGTCAGGTGGCAGAGAGGTTGGCAGTCATACCTGTGACCGCATGGTGAAAGAAGACTGGCAAATGGGCCTTCATATACGTTGGGAGAGAAGAGGAATAAAGTGACAGACAGGCAGAATAAAAATATATTTTTTTAAATTTTAGTGTTTACTTTTTAAAAACAAGCCACTTTAAAATGAAATCCAAATTCAAGAGGAAGTGTTAAGGCCTGAATTTTATAATCTCGCTTAAAACATATAAGCGAAATCAATATGCCGAATCCATGAACTTCTTTCAGAAATTTTTTGAGTGAAGGGTTCTTTTCTGTATGAAGAGAGATTTTGGGAAAACTATCTAATTTTGACACCAAGCATTATAAATATGGAACAGTAGATTCTGTAGTATATTAAGGGTTTGTTTTGCTTAGTATGCATACATTTTATGTTTGGTATATTTCAATCCCAATTACATATCCTAATGCAGCTTGCGTGATCAGACAGTTACTGATATAGTAAATAAGTAGTACATTATTCACAATTTTCTAGCACACTGAAAGTGTACAATCATTAATTTAATATTTTCAGATTGTGATTGCTTAAATATATTTACAGTGTAGCAACGTGCAGAACAAAGATGCGCCAAATACAGCATAAAAGCTATGTTTAGCTGTAAATTAGAATATATTAATCTACCAGCCAATGAGAATGCACCTTTCTTTAGAAAATAATTGAAGTACAAATGAAAGTTGATTGAAATTCAGGGTTTCTGCTTGGTAGCTTGCATAATTTAAATCTGTAACTTAAATTAATTTACCCAATGGGCAGGCTTGTACTGTATGAAGTGAGGGAAATGAAGGGGGTGGGAAGGTGGCAGGCGGACAGGTCTTTGTGTGAATTGGGGTGTGGGAAGTGACAATCAGGCTAATTCGTTGGTATCTGGGGTCTTGTGAATCAGGTCTTCCAGCATCCTAGGAGGCTGGATATAAGAGGAAGGTGGACAGTCTTGTGTCTTTATTTCTCACATTACGTGGCTGGCGGACAGGAAAGCAAGGCAGTTTTGTGAGTGTGTTAGGCAGACAAGCTTGGTGCATGTTTCTTCTAATGGGGAGTGCATCAAGAGAGGAGTGATGACAGACAGGTCTGTGTATTAAGGGACATTTGATCTGAGTATGTTGGGATGGAGTAGAGATGGCAGAGAAGAAGTCTTCTGCATTTTTTCTTGGGTGATTTGGCTAGTACATGGGCATGTTAAGGATGTTAAATTGTGGTTATCTGACTAGTAGTGTACTTGATACAATTTGATAAGGGACCACTCTGCAGAGTTGCAGTTGGGGTAGCTCCTGGAACTGGGACAGAGCAGTCCCAGCTTGTACTGGCTCCGGAAGCCACCTGTGCTGTGGCTCTGCATTTTAAATGTAGTGAGAGCCACCAGGCTCTTACTACATTTAAAATGCAGAGGCACAGTGTCCTAGACCAGCACCAGCCAGGACTACCTGGTCCTGGCTCAAGCAGAGTCCAGCAGCCCCTATTCGCAGCAGCCAGAGGCTGCTGCTGGAGCAGCCCCTGCACACAGTCAGCCCCGGATGCCATGGATTGAGGCTGCTTGAAGGCATCAAGGAGTTGGGAGAAGTGAGTAGTTGAGTACTTCGCTTGACTACTCGCTAACATCCCTAGGGCATGTATGTATTGGCAGTGGTAGAAGTAATAGAAAGTCATACCTGTGTTTGTATTGAAAGTGATGGAGATGGCTGGCAGGCAGGCAGACTGGAGTGTTTGGTAATGGTGTGATGCTACAGGAAGATTGCTGTGTATTGATGGGGTGAGAGAGTGGATCTCAAATAGGCAGGACTGTGTTCTTGAATGGATGTCAGGGAGGCTGGATTGGTGATGTCTTTTGAATGGAGGGCCGACCAGGGCTGTATGTGGCCATCAAGAGATGGTAGCCTGACTTATTGTGGGAAATAGCAAGGAAGTAGATGTGGGCTAGGCTGTGCACTAGGATTGTGAATGGTTAACTGGTAAGTCTTCCTTAATAGGTGAGGGTTACTGGTAAACCTCCAGTAAGTGCTGGAGCAGCTCCCCACCTGGCACAGACAAGGGGTTGTTCCAACCCTGTGAGGGACCTGCAGTTGACAGGGAACAATAGAGCAACCCTTATGGTGGTGGGGGGAGTGCTCACTCTAGCTGGGCTGAAGTGGCCCTCCCAGCTCCTTACCCTTTCATCGACTAACTGGTAAATAATATGTTTAACTGATTAACCAGTTAAACAAGGTTTTACATTTTGGAGCTGGGTGGAGACAATAGACCAGATGGGCATTTAGAGCTGGAGGAGGGGATGTGGCGGATAGGTGTGCTTTGTAGCTGGGGGAGATGGGAGATAGTGGGTCGGCTGGGCTGTGTTTGGACATTTAGAGGTGGGGGCATGCTTTGTGTAGTCATTTGGGGCTCTAGACCAGACTGCCTGTCACAGCAAATCACAATAAACCAAATGCTTGGCTGCAACCTGACCACTGTGCTGCTTCATCCCTAACCATCACGCACACAGGCCCACACCACCACCTCTTGCTCCTTGCATAATACTTGCCTAAGGCCGCCGTACACACCCTCTCCCCAAAACTCAGCCAGTTTCAGTGCCCATCCACTACA